CTGTTGTTCTGAGCCCCACTGTAAACTAAAAGCTTTTTGGATCACTTGGTAAATGGCCAGTACAATAACACATCCAAGTGAGGAATGTATTGCCTCCTAAAGCCAAAGAGGCCCCCTATGCATTGTGCCCCTTTCTGACTGTAGAATTTATCCTCCATCTTAGAAGAGATATCTCACCATGCACCACACCACTGGACCCCTGGGAATTTCAGTGCGGTAGGAGGGCCCTGATTTCTTGTTGGATTTCTTTTCTTTTCTTTTCCTTTTTTTTTTTTTGAGACAGAGTTTCACTTTTGTTACCCAGGCTGGAGTGCAATGGCGCAATCTCGACTCACTGCAACCTCCGCCTCCTGGGTTCAGGCAATTCTCCTGCCTCAGCCTCCTGAGTAGCTGGGATTATAGTCACGCTCCACCACACCCAGCTAATTTTTTGTATTTTTAGTAGAGATGGGGTTTCACCATGTTGACCAGGATGGATTCGATTTCTTGACCTCGTGATCCACCCGCGTCGACCTCGTGATCCACCCGCGTTGGCCTCCCAAAGTGCTGGGATTATAGGCGTGAGCCACCACGCCCGGCCTTCTTGTTGGATTTCTTTCCATCCTCTGACATGCAGTGTCTTATGGATAAATCTAGAGTACTTACTACTTCTTATTCACTAGGTTGAATCAGTGTAATGGCATCAATGTAATGGATCAGTGCAGTATCTTTTGTTTGTTTTTTGAGACAGTCTCGCTTTGTCGCCCAGGCTGGAGTGCAGTGTCACGATCTGAGCTCACTGCAATCTACACCTCCCAGGTTCAAGCAATTCTCCTGCCTCAGCCTCCTGAGTAGCTGGGATTACAGGTACATGCCACCATGCCCAGCTAATTTTTGTATTTTTAGTAGAGACGGGGTTTCACCATGTTGGCCAGGCTGGTCTCAAACTCCTGACCTCAGATGATTCACCCACCTTGGCCTGCCAAAGTGCTGGGATTACAGGCATGAGATACTGTGCTGGGTCCAGTAGTAATAGAAGGAAAAACCAATCAAGATCGCTGTGAACTAAATTATGACATATGGCTGGAGAGCTGATATACTCCCTGAGGTAGCACAGTGAAGGTGTATTACTGGCCTTACCAATTAAAAGCAAGCTACTTATGGTGGTTTTAAATAACAAGGATGGAGAAAAAAGCATTTGCCAACTCCTAGCTACAAAAACTCCTCAAGCTACAAAACCACATTTGGGGGCCTGGTACAGTGGCTCACGCCTGTAATCCCAGCACTTTCGGAGGCCGAGGTAGGTGGATTATGAAGTCAGGAGTTCAAGACCAGCCTGGCCAACACGGTGAAACCCCATCTCTACTAAAAATAGAAAATTTAGCCAGGCCTGTAATCCCAGCTACTCGGAAGGCTGAGGCAGAGAATTGCTTGATCCCAGTAGGTGGAGGTTGCAGTGAGCTGAGATTGTACCACTGCACTCCAGCCTAGGTGACAGAGCGAGACTGCATCTCAAAAAAAAAAAAAAAAAACAACCAAAAACAAACCACAGCTGCTACAACTGGAGGCACCACCTTGTTAAGCTTATGATAATGCAGTATCATTCTTCAAGACCCATTTGTCTTCTGCAGAGCCAAATAGACAAGTTGAATGGAGATAGGGTGGCCCCACCCCCCGTATATTTTTCTTAGCGGTGGCACTAATCTCTGCAATCCCTCCAAGAATGCGGTATTGCTTTTGATTTACTATTTTTCCAGGTGGAGACAGTTTTAGTAGCTTCCACCTGTCCTCTCCCACCATAGCAGCCCTCAGTCCACAGGTCAGATAATCAATGTGGGGATTATCTAAGTAGATAGATCTAGTCCAAATTATGTTTATGATACTGGGGATACAACCACAGAATGCTTCTGGGACTTGCTGTGCCCACTGTGAAACAGACCTGAGCTAAAACTCCATTCATTACCTAACTGCCATAAGCCCCTACTCTGACTGGTAGATCACAGTGATGTTTTGAGTCTCCTGGAATTAAGGTCAGTTCAGAGCCAGTGTCTAATTTAAAACAATTTAATAAATATGAAACAATAATTTATTGTGATAAAGAATGCAAAACGGCCATGAAAGAACATTTCAAAGAAAATACCTCTTACAGGGTAACTATCTTGGAAGATAGTTGATATTCCTTTGGTAGAAGTTAAATAGATGGGAAGTCTACTAAAGTGTTAATTGATTTGTGTAAGTGCAAGACTTCTAGGTCAAGTGAACAAAAGCATAACTTGATTAATAAAGACAGAAAGTCAGCGTCCCTCAATGAATACCCAGACTTGAGCCAGTGAAGAGGCCCAGAAACCCTTGAGCAAAGGGGAAGTCAGGTCCCCTTGAGGAAGACCACCAGTATACTTCCAGAAATTTATACTGTTAATCTTTCTCCCAGTCTTCCAAAAGGGACCTATGGCTTTTATTAGAGTGACTGTGCAGAGACCAACACTGAGTTCCCAATATGGCACCATTCTCTGATGGCATGTTGGTTATATTGGACTGCTTTTTTCTCACTGAAATAGACACTGGATATGGACATGCCTTCTTTACACAAAGTGCTGCCGCCAAACTACCCTGAAAAGTAATCCCTGCAAGGTCTGATTATTTTCCCCAATGCACAGTATCAATGGATCCCAGATACCTGCATTCTCTTATGTAGTTACCACATTCATATAACCTCGCAATCTTTTTTATTTTATTTTATTTTTTTTTATTGCATTTTAGGTTTTGGGGTACATGAGCAGAGCCTGCAAGACAGTTGCATAGGTACACACATGGCAGTGTGTTTTGCTTCCTTTCTCCCCTTAACCTCGCAATCTTTCATTCACACTTTAACTCACAAGTCCCATTCAAACACACAAAATCTCACATGAACTCCAACTCAATCGTAATCCTTTAAAACATACGCATCAATCTCAAAGCCACAACCATCTAATCACGTACCCCATCACCGTCATACAATCATCCAGAGACTTGAGCATATTCACAAACCACATTCACATACAGTCATCCCTGTGTCCCTCCAGGACCCCTCCCTACCAAAATCCACAGATGGTCAAGTCCCTTATATAAAATGGCATAGTATTTGCATATAATCTATGGAAATCCTCCTGTATTCTTTAAACTCTAAATTACTTATAATACATAATAACCATGTAAATACTATGTAAATAGTTGTTATATTCTATTATTTTAGGGCATGATGACAAGAAAAAAAGTCTGTACAAGTTCAGTACCAATCCAAACATCAATTTCTTTTCCCAGGTATTTTCGACTGAAGGTTGGTTGAATCCACAATGCAGGATCTATGGATAGGGAGGGCCAACTGTACATCATATATTTCACTCACTTTCTCAGTGACAGTTTCAAGTGCAAATCATCTCACATACATGAATAAGAATCAGACACAAGCAGAATCACTTGTTCTTAAACAAGCACCATTTCCTCATATTACACTTGGTGATGGAGTTACTGGTCTCTCAGCAAGGTTAAAAATCCTTACCAAGGATCTGTCCCTTCTGGGAGATGACATGTACCAGCTTCCACTCCTAGTCAGCTCTGGACTCACGCACAAACACACGCAGTCACCTCACACCACTCCTATGGACATATCCAAGGTTCAGGACACCCTGCTCCAGAAATCTGTCATGCATCCATCTCAGCCCATCCTGTTCCCAACCAGCTTCTTCCTTCTTCAGGGACCGCCACAGTCACACTAGTCCTCTAATCATGGGTGAACCTAGTGCAAAACGCGTCACAGAGTGTCACACGGTCCCTGTGCACGTGGCTGTGCTCCCGCAAACGGTAATCACACGCGTCCAGACGGCCTCTTACACTTAAGCCTCATCACCTATCACCCCACAGGGGCCATTGAGGGAGTGGCATGAACCCGCGCGGGCACATAGCACACCCATTCTCAAAAGGGCTCAAAACCGTTTCACGACCCGGCGCGGCTCACACCTGTCAACCAACACTTTGGCGGTCTAGCCCGGAGGATCGCTTGAGCCCAGGAGTTCGAGACCACCCTGGGCAACACATCGAGACTGTTGTCACTACCAAAAAAATAAAAATAGGCCGGGCGCGGTGGCTCAAGCCTGTAATCCCAGCACTTTGGGAGGCTGAGGCGGGTGGATCCCGAGGTCAAGAGATCGAGACCATCCTAGTCAACAAGGTGAAACCCCGTCTCTACTAAAAATACAAAAATTAACTGGGCATGGTGGTGCGCGCCTGTAGTCCCAGCTACTCGGGAGGCTGAGGCAGGAGAATTGCTTGAACCCAGAAGGCGGAGGCTGCGGTGAGCCGAGATCGTGCCATTGCACTCCAGCCTGGGCAACAAGAGCGAAACTCCGACTCAAAAATAAATAAATAAATAAATAAATAAATAAATCGTTTTGGCCAGGCCCGGTGGCTCACGCCTGTAATCCCAACACTTTGAGAGGTGGATGCGGGAGGATGGCTTGAGCCCAGGAGGTGGAGACTGCAGTGAGCTAGGATCGCGCCACTGCACTCGGCCCGGGCAAGAGGGCAAGACCCTGTCTCAAACATAAAAAAAAAAAAAAAAATTGTTTTTAATCGTTTCACATACAAAGCTCACGCGCTACATACACCCTCATAGTTCGTTTCACATCCACCTTCTCCGGAGTCCCCTTAGGACAGGTCTCGCAACAAAACACCTCTCTCACCACAACTCCACAAAGGGAGGCCGGGTTCGTCTGCGCCTGCCAAGAATTATCTTTCAGCCACAGCCCGCGGCGGCTGCCTTGAGGGAGTCAGGGCAGCCGCCGTTCCTGTTCCGAAATCCGTCCTCAGCGGGACACGAAGTCCGGAATCCGGAAACGAACCCTAACAGGTGGGCGTCACTCCAGCCTTCGGTGAAACTGAGCAAATGCAACCCGGAGCCGGGCCGAACGCACTCGCTCCAGCCCAGGCGTTCTTCCCTCAGACTGCATTTCCCAGAAGACACCGCTGCCCATAGCTACTTCCGGTAGGAACCTCAGCGGGATGGTCTAGGGTTAGCGGCACGTAAGGACGTCCCGGGCCGGTGGGGAGGGCAGAACGGTTTGTGTGGTCTCGCCTGGAATCCGAATCAGAACTTGGACCAGACCCCTCCCTGAGGATGCTGAAGGTGAGAAATCCTGGCTAGCCAGTGCCGTGGAAGAGAAATGTCTATACTTTTAGGCCTCTGAGTGCGGGATCACCCCTTCTGTGGGTGTGTTGTGAGTGCGTGAGGAAGTAGGGTTTATCTTTGGGCTAATTGTGTGTTACTGTTGACAGCGACAGTGGGTGTGCTTTTGTGACAGTGTGATTATGTGTCTGATCATTTGTGTGAATGGGGTTCGTAGGGACTGTGACCGTGATTGTGAGTGGCTATTTGTGTTAAGTCCCATTTATTTACATGAAAGAAAAAACACATTTACACAAACCACTATCCTCGGGTTCACGATCAGGCAGATAGCTATCACTCTTCTCAGTCAATTCTGGTCTCTCACACACAATTAGACACACATGCAGTCACCTCACCCAGCTCCTGTGTACACATCTAAGGCTCAGGACGACCTACTCTAGAGCATCATTCATCCATCTCAGTGCCTCCTGACTACTTGTGGAGTCAGCTGTAGGTATATACACACACACCACAAGCTAAAATCACATTGCCACTCTGCATTTATCATCACAGCCTCAGAAATACACCACATATGTAGTATGCTTATGTACATATGTGTTTATTTTTTCTAAGATTAGGCCACAATGCGCATTGTTCTGCAACTTTTTATTTATTTATTTGAGACAGAGTTTCACTCTTTCACCCAGACTAGAGTGCAGTGGCACGATTTTGGCTCACTGCAACCTCCACTTTCTGGTTTCAAGCGATTCTCCTGCCTCAGCCTCCTGAGTAGCTGGGATTACAAGCGCCCGCCACCATGCTTGGCTAATTTTTGTATTTTTTATAGAGACGGGGTTTCATCGTGTTGGCCAGGCTGATCTCGAACTCCTGACCTCGTGATCCACCCGCCTCAGCCTCCCAAAGTGCTGGGATCACAGGCATGAGCCACCACGCCTGGTCTCTGCAGCTTCTTACTAAAAGATATTTATGTCCTTTTGTCTGTATTCAAAGACAAACAATATTTCCCAGGATGTTTGCAGGTGTGATTCTTCTTTAATTCTTACAGCACTGTGCTTCAAACTAAAGACTCAAGAATTTATTTTGGTCTGGAAATTTTTGCTCTATTTATTTCTTCTCTTCCATCTGTGTTGTTTTAACCTCTACTTTTGAAATTCCTCTTATACATACATTGGGTCTTTTGGGTCTGTTTTCTGTCTTCCTAGTCTTTTCACATAATGTTCATTTCCTTTTCTTTTTCCTCTTAATTCAGTGAAAATCTGCTCAGGGCATTTCTCAGCACCCTGGTCCTGACTTCCATTTCTTTATAGCATTGGGACACTGAGCTGGCCTAACTATCCCTTCTGCTGAAGAGCCTGGTCCTTGCTTTTCCTGAGTCTATCCTGCTATAGCTGCATTTCCTCATGGTTTTGAGTAAAGCTAGGATTTGTTCAGATTCCCTCTAATCATTTATGTGTGTGTGTATCAGATCTGGGAACAGGAGATATGAGGGGGAAGAAAAATGTCATTCTGAATTAACATTTTAGGAGCTTAGAGGTAATAATCTTCTGTCTTTTCTTTTACTCCCCTCTCCCCCAGCAACACCTTTGGATTGAGTTTCTTCCAGAGGGAACCAAGAAGAGGATTAATTAATACATTCAATTGTAAAATAAGCCATGGCTCATGTAAGTTGGTTTTTTCTTGGTCCTAATTCAAATAGTTTTAGTGTGTGTGTGTGTGTGTGTGTTTGTGTGTGTATGTGTGTGTGTGTGTGTGTGTGTGTGTGTGCAGGGCATGTGACTACTTGCATTTATTTATTTGAGACATAGCCCCACTCTGTCTCCTAGGTGGGAAGGTTGGAGTGCAGTGGTGCAATCTTGGCTCACTATAGCCTCTACCTCCCAGGTTCAAGTGATTTTTGCATTTTAGCCTCCCAAGTAGTTGAGACTACAGGCACATGCCACCATGCCCAGCTAATTTTTTTTTTTTCTGAGATGGAGTTTTGCTCTTGTTACCCAGGCTGGAGTGCAATGGCATGATCTCGGCTCACTGCAACCTCCGCCTCCTGGGTTCAGGCAATTCTCCTGCTTCAGCCTCCTGAGTAGCTGGGATTACAGGCACGTGCCACCATGCTCAGCTAATTTTTTGTGTTTTTAGTAGAGACGGGGTTTCACCATGTTGACCAGGATGGTCTTGACCTCGTGATCCACCCGCCTCGGCCTCCCAAAGTGTTGGGATTACAGGCGTGAGCCACCGCACCTGGCCGCCCAGCTACTTTTTATACTTTTAGTAGAGTTTCACTAGGCTGGTCTCAAACTCCTGGCCTCAAGTGATCCGCCCATCTCAGCCTCCCAAAGTGGTGGGATTACAGGCATGAGCCACACGCCCAGTCTGCATTCTTTATTCTGACATTGTTTCTTATCTGAGAATTATACAATAACTTGCTATTGAGTAAGTAATGGTGCCAGAATTTCAGGCCCTTCATTTTTTGCTCCTCTCCTCTCCAACCCATGTTCATACACTTGTTAAATAAATCATTCTTCATCTCCCTTATGTGCAATCTTCTAACAGAAACAAGTTGAGAATACAAATAATATTCTTTTGAAGTCGGGCATGGTGGCTCACACCTGTAATCCCAACGCTTTGTGAGGCAGAGGCAGCCAGATCACCAAGGCAGGCAGATCACCTGAGGTCGGGAGTTCGAGATCAGCCTGACCAACGTGGAGAAACCTTGTCTCTACTAAAAATACAAAATTAGCCAGGTGATGGGCACCTGTAGTCCCAGCTACCCGGGAGGCTGAGGCAGAGGTTGCAGTGAGCCAAGATTGTGCCATTGGACTCCAGCCTGGACAACAAGATCAAGACTCTGTCTCAAAAAAAAAAAAAAATTAGTGTTTCTCTTGTTAAAACTTGATTTGATAAGGTTAAATTTTGATAAGGTTAAAAATTTGATTTGTTAAACTTGATTTAATAAATATTTATTGAGTACCTACTATGTGACAGGCCATTCTTCTGGGTAACTAGGAATAAATCAGTGGGAAAAAAATATCACATATATGCAAATCTTCCCTTCTGAAGCTTAACTGGTAGTGAGAGATAGAAAATAACTTATGTATTGTAAGACTTAAGACACACACCCAGATTTATGCAGAGAGAGTAAGCAAGACAGAATTAACAAAATAATCACATGATGAAAGCCAGGCACAGTGGCTCATGTCAGTAATTCCAAAGCTTTGGGAGGCTAAGGCTGGAGAATCACTTGAGCCCAGGCATTCCAGAATAGTCTAGGCAACATAATAAAACCCAATCTCTACAAAAAAAATTTTTATTAATTAGCTGGGTGTGGTTGCATGCACCTATAGTTCTAGCTACTCGGGAGGCTGAGGCTAAGGTGGGAGAATCACTTGAAAGCCCAGGAGTTTGAGGCTGCAGTGAGCTATGATCACACCACTGTACCCCAGCCTGAGTGACAGAACAAGACTGTTTCAAAAAAAGAAAATGTACATGATAAAATTAAGACCAGAGAAAAAAGAAAACAGACTAGATAAGATTCAGGGCACATCACAGAACTACACATGGCCCACGGACATTATATACTTTTAAAGTATAAATTTCAAAATGAAGATACAATAGTTCTGAATACATGTGTATTGAATATCATAGCAGTACCTCCCCTAAAGCAAAATTTAAAGCAGATAGAAGAAATAGACACTTGCCAGAAGTAGGAGATATTAATTCACTCTTCTCAGTCCAAATCAGGCCAAGTAGACTAAATTTAATAAGGGAATAGAAGTACTAATCCACATACTCTATCAGGTCTACATTATTGATGCTTCTATGTTAAATTTGGTATCCTGATACTTGTTAATATTCATTCTTCTTTCAAGTGGCTATGGAACATTCAGTAAAAAATGACATCTACCAAAATCACAAATGTATTTTCCATTTTGATCCTGCAATCCAACTCCTGGTACTTTTTCTTATAGATATACCTATATTTGTTATATTTGTATGAAATGATAAATCCACAAGAGTATTCATTGTACTATTGTTTGTAATAGCCAAAGACTGGAAATAATGAATCTATAGGTTTAATTGATAAACTATAAGTATTAATATAAATAGTTGAATTATATATACTTAGGTAAAAATAAAGAAGCTGTTCACCACAGATATGGCAAGATCCTTTGTATTTAATAAGTGAAAAAAATCAAGTACAAAACTGAGTATTTTATAGTGTGTTATTGTTTGTATAAGAGGGTGAAAAATGGGCCGGGCGCGGTGGCTCAAGCCTGTAATCCCAGCACTTTGGGAGGCCGAGGCGGGTGGATCACGAGAGATCAAGACCATCCTGGTCAACATGGTGAAACCCCGTCTCTACTAAATATACAAAAAATTAGCTGGGCATGGTGGCACGTGCCTGTAATCCCAGCTACTCAGGAGGCTGAGGCAGGAGAATTGCCTGAACCCAGGAGGCGGAGGTTGCGATGAGCCGAGATCGTGCCATTGCACTCTAGCCTGGGTAACAAGAGCGAAACTCCGTCTCAAAAAAAAAAAAAAAAAAAAAAAGAGGGTGAAAAATTATATGTATATATTTACTTATAAAGTTGTTTATCCATGGGGGCAAGAGATGGGAGACAAAATGAAAAGGAGAGAAATGAGACAAGACATATGAATGCATACCTTTTTAGTTCTTAACCATTTAAGAAAGGAAAAGAAAATATAAAAATATGCCAGGTGCAGTGGCTCATGCCTGTAATTCCAACACTTTGAGAGGCCACTGCAAGAGGATTACTTGAAACCAGGAGTTTGAGACCAGCCTGGCAACAAAGACCCCATCAGTACAAAAAAAGAATTAGCTGGGCATGGTGACATGTGCCTGTAGTCCCAGCTACTTGGGACACTGAAGCAGGAGAGTTGATTGTGCCTAGGAGTTTAAGGTTGCAGTGAGCTATGATCTCGCCACTGAACTCCAGCTTGGGTGACAAAGCGAGATGCCCCCCATCCCTACCCCCAAAAAGGAAAATAAAATGTAAAAATAAAAATCTATTATCAAGGTTTATAATTTTCTCTAGCCGTTTTTAGCTACTTAGATTTAGTCATGGAGTAGGAGCAGAGATGGATTTATCAAGGATTCAGGCTTTGTCAAGCAAGTGTGAAATGAGAGGGCTAAGGGAGTTCATGTTGGGAGTGATTATGAAGTTAAGTGATTAGTTGAGCATGGAATTGAAGTTGGGTAAGAAGAGAGAGAAGAAGTATGGAGTGGGGTAAGTGCCAATGTGAAGGTGATCAGAGAAGGATACTTGATATTTTGGAGGTGATGCAGTTATTGCTAATCACAAGGTCTAGAGTAATAACATGGGGAGTGAGTGAAGTAGAATGGAAGATAAGCTCATAGAAAAGTAGAAGAGGTTAAGGAATTGGGGCCATGATATTAGAAGAACTCAGTATATGGCTATTTGAAGTCACTGAAAATAAAGATTAGTAGTATTAGAGTTAGTGATTTGAGCCAGGAGCTAAAATTCCTGAGGGGCAAAAGCCTGCATATGAACACATCACTGCAACAGAGAGAGATAATACATGGTATAGGCTGATGAAATGATGACATTAGATTTTAGAGAAGGGGCCCAGGCGTGGTGGCTCACACCCATAATCCCAGTACTTTGGGAGGCTGAGGCAGACAGATCACTTGAGGTCAGGAGTTCGAGACCAGGCTGGACAACATGGTGAAACACTGTCTCTACCAAAAATACAAAAATTAGCCAGGTATGGTGGTGCGCACCTGTAATCCCAGCTACATGGGAGGCGGAGGCATGAGAATTGCTTGAACCCGGGAGGCAGACGTTTTAGTGAGCCAAGATCGTGCCATTACGCTCCAGCCTGGGCAACAGAGTAAGACTCTGTTTCAAAAAAAAAAAAAAAGATGTTAGAGAAGGAAAGACAGTTGTCTGACACCAATAATGAGAAGCAAAGAGGACAGTGGTACAAAGGCTGTGGGAGGGAAAATAAAAAGCCAGCACTTGAGGTGTCCTCAGGGAATGAATGGTTAATTAAGTCACACGTGGAAAATCTTATAACTTCACAACTTGGGGTTTTCCAGTGAGATGTGATAGGAATTGGTGTTAGGTGATCTCACTGAGCAGAAAGACTTTGCTGTGTGAAGCTTTAGGATTAGATGGAGATAGGATTAGTGCTTGCATGGAAAAATTGAAGATCTTGCTGGAAAATAGATGATCACCAATTACAAACTCCAGTTTTTAGACTGAACAGAGTATGTTAGACTTGGGTCACATCTATGAACATCTGGATTATTCTATGTTAATATTCTTTAATTTAGGAGCATAGTATATATACAGGGAGAGGTGGTGGATGATGACAGTTAAGATTTATATGTAACCTTAGAAAAGACCTTAGAGATTTTATTCACCCCAGAGATTCAAGTTTAAGAGAATTATTAAATCCCTTATTGTAAGATTAAATAAGGCTGGGTGCAGTGGCTCATGCCTGTAATCCCAACACTTTGGGAGGCCAAAGTGGGAGGATTGCATGAGCCCGGGAGCTCAAGACCAGCCAGAGCAATATAGTGAAACCCCATCTCTTAAAAAAAAAAAGATCAAATGTTGTGCTACCAATAAAAATCATATTACAGTTACAATAACTATTGCCAGGTAACAAACCACCCCAAAATTTAGTAGATTAAAACAACAGTCATGGTTGAGCTTGCAAATCCACAGTCTCAGCAGAGCTCAGTAGGGATCACTTGCCTCTGTTTCATGTGGTATCAGCTGAAATGGCCTGACTGGTAGCTAGCTGACCCACTTTCAAGATAGTTCCCTCACATGGCTTGCAAGCTGTCGCTGGGTGTTGTTTGGGGAGCCTTGATTCCTTTCCCCATGAGCTATGCCATGGGCTGGTTAGGCTTCCTAGGAACATGGTGGCGGGGTTTCCAGAATGAACATTTCCAGAAAGTAAGGCAGAAGTATGAGACGTTTTTGTGGTCTAACCACAGAAGTCACATAATCACTTCTGCCATATTCTATAGGTTGAATAAGTCACAGATGTCCTCTCAGGTTCAAGAGAGAGAAGGGGACACAGACCTTTACACCAGTTGGAAGAGGGATGTCAAGGTTACATTGAAGAAAGATATTTGGGATGCAAGATACGGCTTTGTCCATTTATGGAAAATATAGTCTGTACCAGATGTGTACTAAAGAATTTGCAGGAAAACTAAAAATACCTACGGCATGATAGTCACAATCATGAAGAAAATTCTTCAAGTTCTTTTTCTCAAGATAGAGATTTTAATAAGACATTTTAGAAAAGTTTTCAACTATTTAATATAATAGGGAGCCTCTACTTATTTTCTTAATTTCTAGATGACTGATTAACAGGAGTTTCCCACCTACTCAAGATGTGTCTGCAGAAATTGAATTGTTTAAGAACATGTAGGCACTCCACTTCAGTCACACTAAATTCCTCTTTGACCCATGTCCCAGGCTTAGCCTGTATACTCACTAGATGTCTCCTTTCTTGCAGTGGCTTCTTTTAGCACCTCTCTTTTCTTTTTAGAAATGTTTCTTATGATTTCTAAAATAGCACTATGATTTGTCATTTTAGGAGTTGGTGATGTTCAGAGATGTGGCTATAGATGTCTCTCAGGAGGAATGGGAATGCCTGAACCCAGCACAGAGGAATCTGTACAAGGATGTGATGCTGGAGAATTACAGCAACTTGGTGTCACTTGGTAAAGTTATCTAAAAATTAAAAATCTCTCCAAGTACTTTCCTCAGTTAAAAAAAAAAAAAGAAACTGACAATTCAGAATTCCTCTAACAATTCATAATGTACTTTTTGGAATTCCTGCTTTCAAATAACTGGATGAATTTTCTCTTTATGTATTGCAGAAAGAAGTACAGCTAAATAGAGATTCATTTTCATTTTCCCCATCCTCCCATGTTCTTTTGGTCCTTTCTTATAACTCTTCCTTGATGTTTAAGGGGCAGAACTGGAAATCTGTAACATTAATCAAAGAAACCAGACTCTCTGTTGTTTCACTTCCACTGTACTAAATCTGCCAATGTACTAGCATAAGATTAAAACTAGACATATGGGTTCCAGGAGTGAACCTTTTTTCTTTCCTGGGTAATATAGTGGTAGGCTGGAGTAATAAATGTTTATTTACTATTCTCAAATGAACACTTCTCCATTTCCTATAAATGTACTCTCTTTTATCTTTTATTTTTTTAATTTTTTATTTTACTTTTTTTTGAGATGGAGCTTTGCTCTTGTTGCCCAGGCTGAAGTGCAATGGCGTGATCTCAGCTCACGGCAACCTCCGCCTCCCAGGTTCAAGCGATTCTCTTGCCTCAGCCTCCCGAGAAGCTGGGATTACAGGCATATGCCAACATACCAGCTAATTTTGCATTTTTTAGTAGAGACAGGGTTTCTCCATGTTGGTCAGGTCAGTCTTGAGCTCCCAACTGCAGGTGATCTGCCTACCTTGGCCTCCAAAGTCCTGGGATTACAGGTGTGAGCCACCATGCCTAGCCTTTTATTGTTTTTATTTTATTTATTTATTTATTTATTTATTTATTTATTTTTGAGACGGAGTTTCACTCTTGTTACCCAGGCTGGAGTGCAATGGCACGATCTCGGCTCACTGCAACCTCCGCCTCCTGGGTTCAGGCAATTCTCCTGCTTCAGCCTCCTGAGTAGCTGGGATTACAGGCACGTGCCACCATGCCCAGCTAATTTTTTGTATTTTTAGTAGAGACGGGGTTTCACCATGTTGACCAGGATGGTCTCGATCTCTTGACCTCGTGTTTTTATTTTTTTAACAGAGTTTCACTCTTGTCATCCAGGCTGGGGTACAGTGGCACAATCTTGGCTCACTGCAACCTCCACCTCCCAGTTTCAAGCAATTCTCCTGCCTCAGCTTCCTGAGCTGAGATTACAGGTGCCTGCCACCATACCCAACTAATTTTTGTATTTTTAATAGAGACAGGATTTCACCATGTTGGCCAGGTTGGTCTTGAACTCCTGGGCAAGTCTTGCACCTGACTTGTACTCTCTTTTAAATGATTTGCCTTTGGCAGTTATTTTTTAATAACTTTATACAGTTAACATTTAAAAAAACATGAGGCCCGGTGCAGTGGCTCACACCTGTAATCCCAGCACATTGGGAGACTAAGGTGGATAAATCCTCTGAGATCAGGAGTTCAAGACCAGCCTGGCCAATATGGCAAAACCCCGTTTCTACTAAAAACACAAAAATTAGCCAGGTGCAGTGGCGAGTGCCTGTAATCCCAGCTACTCAGGAGGCTGAGGCAGGAGAATCACCTGAATCCCGGAAGTGGAGGTTGCAGTGAGCTGAGATTGCACCATTGCACTCCAGCCTGGACCCTGTCTCAAATCAATCAGTCAATCAATAGTGTTCTACAGAACTGTGAGAGAATACATTTGTGTTGTTTTAAGCCACCCAGTTTGTGGGACTTTGTTAATGGTAGCCCTAGGAAACTAATAGAGGGGAATCAAGAGTGAAACTCCATCTCAAAAAAAAGAATAAATATCTCAGGAAACTACCTTTTTTTTCATCACAGCAAAATAAGAGAAAGCTTGCATAAATTTCAGTACCATTTTATCACCTATTTCTTTGCTTTGTTATGATCCTGTTTTCATCTGAATATGAATATTTCATTTCTTCTCCTTTATTTCCTCTGTATCCCTTATCAAGTACCTTTTTGATCTGTGATTTATTTTTATTTTTATCAGTTCTGAATCGATGTGTTTGGATACTTTTAATTCCATCTCATCTCAATTTCTTTTCTTATAACTAGGACTTTCTGTTTCTAAGCCAGCCATAATCTCCTCATTGGAGCAAGGAAAGGAGCCCTGGATGGTTGTGAGGGAAGAGTCAGGAAGATGGTGCCCAGGTGAGTGAGCAAGCACAGGAAGCTCTTGCAGGGAGCAGGCCAGCTGGTCAGAATGTTGGGTTGGCAAGGTTATTTTAAACCACATACTTAAGGAAAACCTAATTTTAAAACATATCACAAAGCTATAGTAATCAAACAGTGTGGTACTGACATAAAGACAGACATGTAGACTCATGGAATAGAATAGAGATCCCAGAAGTAAACCCTTGCATAAAGAGTCAAATGATTTTAGACAAGGGTGCCAACACTTTAGTGGAGAAAACTCCACAGGCAAAGAAATACAGTTGTACCCTTATCTTACACCATATAGAAAAATTAACTCAGAATTGATCAAGGACCTTGGCCAAGCATGGTGGCTCACGCCTGTAATCCCAGCATTTTGAGAGGCCAAGGCAGGCAGATCACGAGGTCAGGAGATCGAGATCATCCTGGCCAACATGGTGAAACCCTATCTCTACTAAAAATACAAAAATTAGCTGGACATGGTGGCGCATGCCTGTGATCCCAGCTACGCAGGAGGCTGAGGTAGGAGAATCACTTGAACCAAAGAGTTGGAGGTTGCAGTGAGCCAAGATCACACCACTGCACTCCAGCCTGGCGACAGAGCAGACTGTGTCTCAAAAAAAAAAAAAAGAATGGAAAAGAATGGATCTGAGACCTAAATGTGAGAGCTAAAACTATAAAACTCTTAGAAGAAAACATTGGAGAAAAGCTTCATGATATTGGATTTGGCAGTGATTAGTTGTGTATAACACCAAAAGCACTGGCAACAAAAGCAAAAATAGACAAATGGGACTACATCAAACCTAAAAACTTCTGTACATCAAAGGACACAATCAACAGTGTTTATTAATTTTGTTTGTTGGTTTTGAGACAGGGTTTTGCTCTGTCACTCAGGCTGGATGGAGTGCAGTGATGCAAACTCGGCTCACTGCAACCTCTCCCTCCCTGGCTTAAGCAATCCTCCCATCTCAGCTTCTTGAGTAGCTGGAACTACAGGCACATACCACCATGCCTGGCTAACTTTTTAATTTTTTGCAGAGGTGAAGTCTTGCTATATCACCCAGCATGGTCTCAACCTCCTTAAGCAGTCCTCCCACCCCAGCCTCCCAACGTGCTAGGATTATAGGCACGCATCACTGTGCCTAGCCAGTTTATTTTTTAAAAGATTCAGGCTGGGCTCAGTGGCTCACACCTGTAATCTCAGCACTTGGGGAGGCTCAAGTGGGAGGATTACTTGAGCTTAGGAGTTTTGACCTGTCTGGGCAACATAGCAAAAGCCCTGTCTTTACAGAAAAATTAAAATTAAAAATTAGTCAGGCATGATGGTACATGCCTGTAGTCCCAGATGCTCAGGAGACTGAGATGGGAGGATCACTTGAGCCGAAGAGTTTGAGGCTACAGTGAGCCAAGATCGTACCACTTTACTCCAGTCAAGGTGACAGTGCAAGATGCTGTCTCAAAATAAATAAATAAATAAAAGATTCATACAGGTTGCTTTGCTAGGTGATGGGAATACATTTTTAAAATATCATAAAGACATTTTAAATTTAGTAGGGGATCAAGAATACATGGATGTTCTAATAGAATCGCTAGGAAAAAAATGGTTAGAAATTAGGAAAGTTAGAGAAAGTAATATATGACCATATTGAGGAGGTGGAGATGGCAGAGGGATGATTGAGAAGGCAGGAGGTCAACTAGGAAAGTTTGGGGTGCTATAGGCCAAGAGCAGATCCGTTCTATAGGCCAGAGTTCTTTGATGATGTCCGTGACTCATTGAAGTGCTACAGGCTGAATATGGTGGCTCTTGCCTGTAATCCCAGGACTTTGGGAGGCCAAGGTAGAAGGATTGCTTGGGCCTAGGAGTTTGAGGCCAGTCTGGGCCATATAGCGAGATCCTGTCTCTACTGAAAAAAATTAAAAATTAGCCTAGCATGGTGGCATGCACCTGTAGTCCCAGTTACTCAAGGGGCTGAGTTGGGAGGATTGTTTGAGCTGGGAAGGTCAAGGCTGCAGAGAGCCGTGATTCTGCCATTGCACTCTAGTCTGGGTAACACAGCAAGACCCTGTCTCAATCAATCAATAAAATGCTACAGAACTGTGAGAGAATACATTTGTGTTTTAAGCCACCCAGTTTGTGGGACTTTGTTAATGGCAGCCCTAGGAAACTAATAGAGGGGAATCATAGAAAAATGAATGGTACATATTGTCCTACATGTTTTAATGTAAAGATAACATTCCTTTACCAATTTTTTATACCTGGGTAGGCCTTTTTCTTGACATAGATACAGTGATTTTCTTTAAAAAAAAGAAAAAAGACCTTTTATTTTGACATAATTACGGATTCACAAGAGGTTGCCAAGAAATGTATGGAGAAGTCCTGTGCACCCCCCTTGCAGCTTCCCTCAGGGTTAATACCTTACCCAACTATAGTACAATACCATACCAAAAAAATTGACATTGCTACGATTCATAGAACTTACTCAGATTTCACTAGTTATACATGCACTCATTTATCTGTGTATATGTATAACTCTATGTAGTTTTATCACATGTAGCCTTGTGTCACCACCACAGTAGCCAAAATACTCAACAATACCATCACCACAAGACTCCCTTACGTTACCTCTTTATATCTATACTTATCCCATTTCTCTTTTCCCTAACCCTTGTGATACGGTTTGGCTGTCCCTGCTCCCAAATCTCATCTTGAATTGTAGCTGCCATATTTCCCATGTGTTGGGGGAAGGACCTCGTGGGAAATAATTGAATCATGGTGGCAGTTTCCCCCACATTGTTATCATGCTAGTGAATAAGTCTCATGAGAGCTGAGACTTATTTATAAGGGGTTTCCCCTTTTGCTTGGCTCTCATTCTCTCTTGCCTGCTGTCATGTAAGACGTGCTTTTGCTCCTTCTTTGCCTTCTGCTATGATTGTGAGGCCTCCCCAGCCATATGGAACTGAATCCATTAAACCTTTTTCTTTATAAATTACCTAGTCCCGGGTGTGTCTTTATCAGCAGCATGAAAACAAACTAATATACCTTGGCAACCATATTCTGTTCTCTGTATAATTATGTAATTTCATGAATGTTACATAAATGGAATCCTGTATATGGGTGTTTGTTTTTTACATTCATGTACAAATTTGTACATGAAAATAAGTCTTCATTTGTTTACAGTAAATGCTCAAGAGTGTAGTTGCTGGGTGGTGTGATAAATCCATTTTTAGTTTTGCAAGGAGCTGCCAAATTATTGTGCACAATGGTGGTATCGTTTTACACTCTTACCAGCCATGTATGTGTGATCCAGTTTCTCTAGTCATAGCCAACTTTTGGTGTTATAATTGTTTTTCTTTGTAGCCATTCTATTAGATAGGTAACTATATCTCATTGTGATTTTAATTTGAATTTTCTTAATGACAAATAATGTTGAACAACTGTGTGTGCCATCTGTCTATCCTGTTGATTGAAATGTCTCTTCATGCCTTTTGCCTGTTTTCCAATTTGGTTGGTTTTTTTACTGTTGAGTTTTCAAAGTTCTTTTTGTATCTTAGACAGAAGCCCTTTGCTGGATATATGACTTGCAAATATTTTCTCCCAGTCTGTAATTTATTTTTTTATCCTTTTAATAGGGTCTTTGCAGAGCAAAAGTTTTTAATTTTGATGAGGTCTAATTTATCTTTTTTTCTCTTATGAATTGTGGTTTTTGGGGTGTGTGTGTGTGTGTGTGTGTGTGTGTGTGTGTATTTAGTGTCATGCCTAAGAACTCTTTGCTTGTCAAAGTTCTAAATGTCCTTAAGATTTTCTCTGATCTTTTTTAGAAATTCTATAGTTTTACATTTTTCATTTAAGTTTGTGGTTCATTTTGAGTTCATTTTTATAAAGTTGTGAGATTTAGATCAAAGTTTTTTTTTTTCTATGGATGCCCATAGCATTTATTTAAAAGTTATCCCTTCTCAGGTGAATAGCTTTTCACCTTTGTCAAAAATTAGTTGTGTACATTTGTGTGACACTGTTTCTGGGTTCTCTGTTCTCTTGCATTGATCTTTGTGACCATCTCTCTTCTAATGCCACCTTTCATGATGGCTTCAGGTATATAGTAAGCCTTAATATTGGAAGGAGTGATTCTTCCCACTGTGTTATTTTTCACAACTGTTTTGGCTATCCTTGGGACCTTTTTGCATATAAGTTTTAGAAAATCTTGTCTGTGGCTACAAAAAACTCCCTGAGATTTTCATGGGAATTGTGTTAAGCCTATAGCTGAAGTAAGAGAGAACACCTTTACTCGGTTGAGTCTTCCAAAGCATGAAAACAGCATGTCTCTCTAAATACTTTTTGTTTTCCTTGATTTGTTTTATTAGCATCTTACAATTTTCATCATACAGAATCTGTACATGTTTTGTTATTTTTATACCTAAGTATTTCATCTTCTTTGGAGCATTTGTAAAGGGCATTGCATTTTTATATTGGGATGCAGTTGATTTTGTGTATTAATCCTGTGACCTTTCTCAACTTGCATATTAGTATTAGTTTTTCTTCTAATTTTTTTCTTAGAGATTTCTACTTATAAACAAATTATCTACAATCATTTTCTTTTTATATTGTAGTCTATGCCTTTTATTTCTTTTTCTTGCCTTATTGGAGTGACAAGAACTTCTAATACTATGTTGAATAAGGGTGGTAAAAGTGGATGTCTTTATGTTCTCCCTATTTTGGAAGGAAAGCGTTCAGTCTTTTAACATTAAGTAGGATGTCAGTTCTAGGAATTTTGTAGATGCTTTATATTATTAGGTTGAGGAAATTCCCCTCTCTTTTTAATGCCCTGAGAGGTTTTTTAAAAAAAATATGAATGAGTATTGATGTGATCATGTTATTTTTCTTATCATATTTATATGTTATATTGAACAATTTCCCAATATTAAATGAGCTTCTTATACCTAGAATAAATTACATTTAGTCATGGTATATTATGCTTCTTATTCATTGTTGGGTTGGATTT